TTTTAAACTGAATTTGAGAAAACACTTCTTTACGCAGCGTGTAGTTAGAGTATGGAATAGTCTTCCTGCTAGTGTAAAACCCTGGGTTCCTTTAAATCAGAGCTAGATAAGATTTTAACAACTCTGAGCTATTAGTTAAGTTCTCCCCAAACGAGCTTGATGGGCCGAATGGCCCCCTCCCGTTTGTAAATTTCTTATGTTCTTATGTATTGGGGGGGGGAGGTATTGTGCTTTGGGGGCAGCTTATTTATTAGCATGGATTGAAATAGTGCAGTAAGATTTCTTTCAGTATGCTGGTATGCCAGAAAACGAAACCTTAGCAACGTAAGTGCATCTTTCACCAGCCCAGGGTTCCCAAACACAAGGCCTGAGTTATATTGGAATGGTTTGAAAACATAAAATTGAAAGTCTTAGAATGGCTGAGTCAAAGCCCTGTGGTGCAGAGGCATGATCTTCACAACCGGAACAACCTGGAGCAATTCTGAGGAGACGATGACTCCGGAATAGTTTGCAAAGTTTGCTTCATACTCACTTTCCAAAAGAATAGCTGTTATATAGCTGCAAAAGGAGGCTCTGCAGATAATTAAGATGTGGGCACAGAATGCCACAAAAAACAAATAGAACAAACAACTTTTTTTAAGTAATGCCGCATTAATTTTCGGTTTCGCTGCTTTGAAATAAAAATATGAACTAAATTTCAATGTAGGATTTACAATTCTGCGAAGCGGGTTAAGGAATCGAATACTTTTACAAGCCACTGCATATAACAAGAACTGGGCGTGTGATACGGTAACGTCTATTCTCAGAATGATCTGTGAGCCAGTGTGTTGCTAAGTTTATGCATGTTTAAAATTTCTTTCTGGATTGTTTTTATTTAAAACTATTTAGGGCACTGAACCTCTACCTTGGGAAAAGTGTGTCCTAAATACAATGTTTATGCACTTTTATGTAGTTTTTTCCAGTGTACAGAGCACTGCAGATGGAGAGACTGAGCATTATTTTATTTAATATTCGTGTGTGTGTGCACATGTGTGCATGCATGCGTTTTCCTGCCAGTTTGAAAGTATTCTCAGTTTTATCTGTGCTGATATTCGAGAGCCTTTTTCCCCTCATTCCGCATGTTAATGATGCACCTTAGTTTTTAGCAGGGCTGACTGTCATGGACGGCTCCACACCCTTATTCCTCCACTGAGGATAATAAGCTATTGCTAATGTTTTGTGCCAAACCTCCCTACACTCCTTCTATTCTGCACTGCTTTGGAACCTGTTTCTGGAACACTAAGTTCCCCAGAGACACTCTGCGATTCTCTCTCTCTGTCTCTCTTTCTCTCTCTCTCTCTCTCTTTCTCTCTCTTGCTCTCTCTCTCTCTTTTTGCAGTTTCCTAAAGCAAGTATATCCAAAACTATCAACGATGAAACATGGGGTTTCAACAGCAGACTTATGTAATGTCGAAACCTGCTAAGTATGATAAATATGGAATGAATATTTAATAAACTTGAGACTATGTTGTTGTATCTATAAACAGATCTTGAGTTGCTGCTAGTATCTCAGAATTCTGCAGCAACTTATGGATTCCTTAGTGGCTACTCTGTTTTTTCAGCCCGCTTCCAAACTTGGATAAAATCTAACACATAATTCTATGAAGCTCAGTTCCTTACCTTTGGATCTTTATCCTGTCTGTCTAAATACCACTATAATTTTTTTTATGGTATAAATCAGCTATGAAACGCACTCAAAGTCTAATTGATGCGATGACTCGAGCATTCATCTTGTGAGAATTGTGTCTCCCATCAGTAGCTATAAAGGCCTCTTTATAACATATTGACTCTCTCCTTCATGGGCAACACAATGGATTTAACTTTTCAGAGGTATCTAAACTGCATCAATGTTTACTTATCCTACTGAATTGCCAAACCAGGTCTTCATGGTGTCTGAGTCATGCCTCAAAAGCTATCAGGTAGTGCAGATGTTAACAAAGCAGACTTCTACCTAAAAGGTTGTTTGTTCTCGATGTACCCAGCTGAGATTGAGTTTCTCCTGTAGGTGTCAGATTGAATGAATGTGTAAAATGAAAAGCGTCCCATCTTGACAGGCAGTTAGCGCAGATGTAGGGGGGGTGGTTTATGGGTACCTGGGAATCACTTGGGGAAGTAGAAACACTAGAGGTGGGTAGGTTTGTGGGAATATTTTAAAAACTGAGCAGTAACGTCTTCTGAACTCTTATGTAGAGCTGGAAGTGGCAAGATTGAGCACAGACGGACACTTGATGGACCTGAGATTCCCTCAGTCTGAAGGACATGGGAACTCGATTCGATTGTCTGCGAGCACCTTAAAGCAACATGGAAAAAATGGTAAGTTTTAGTAAATGTCTCGGGCTTTCAGCTGTTCCTGAGAATCAACTTAATTATCACCCTGTCTGGGAAAAACAGCTGTAACTGCCAATATCAAACACAAACGTTTCGGGGGGTAAGTGTATACCGACGATTAAGTATCTTTTCATTTTGTTTTGTTTATCCTGTCGATACAGTATGTGCCTGTCTGAGCGAGTGGGTTTCACACCACTGCGAAATGGAAATTGAATGGGTTTGGGGAGCGCTCTATTCCCAGCCAGTTTGAGGCTTTTCTGTATGAACAGAAGCCGCTTCACCGCCCCCTGACGGCCTGCCCTGGGCCCCAGCGTGAGGCCTCGTTCAGAGCCCCACTGAAGGCATCATTTACATGACAATCAAGAGCAAATATTGCTTTTTTTTTAATCCAACAGGAAGCCACCATGTCATTTTGCAGAAGTTAAACATAGAAATATTAAATTGCTCAGGCTTGAAACATATACTTTTAACAAAAAACATTTGGCTCTGGGGAAGCATAGGGCACGAGTGCATGGGCAATTCGGCAATTAAATGGCACCTAGCATCAAGAGTCTCACTGATAAGAGAACGAGCAATTCGTTTGATAAATTTCCCAAGCTAGCAACATTCTGAAGCATTCAGCACGCTTTAGTTGTGTGTGTGTGTGTGTGTGTGTGTGTATACTGTATATATTATGTGTATCTATATATGTATATACGCGTGTGTGTGTGTGTATATATATATGTATATAGACAGAATACTGCCATCTTGGTAATTGTTTTTTTTTTGTGACAAATATCCTAGCAGGGCTGCAGATCAGCAGATGTTACATTGCAGCCTGTGTACTAACATTCACGACGGGCTGTGTGGCCTCAGCACATAATTCAATCCAGTTTTTTTTTTTTATATATATATTTATAGTGTCTACAAAAAATTACATAATTACATACAGATACCCCGTTGTGAAACATAATTTGCAAATGTGTAATGGTAACACTAAACATAATTTAAACAATTATATGATAATACTCGATGTTTTCAGAACAGACTTATAGAATTTGTCTTGCTAACGAATGTCTTATTGATTTTTTACATTATTATTATTATTATTATTTTAGTGTAATTAATCGATGCTGTCCTTATGGCATCTTTTTTCAGAATCATTGTGTTAATCCAGTGTATTTGGCATGATAACTTTTCACAGTGGGTTCATTTTGGGACTGAACACCACAATAAAAAATAAAAAAAATATATATATGTACCATGCACTGGTTTAAGGTTGGATTGGTGATCCGTTACCCCAGACCGTGTCGCTTTTTGTTTCTCTATCCTCAGGAGAGATTCGGATGGCCTTCGTTTTATACAAGAACCTGGGAGCTTATCTGTCGACGGAGAATGCTAGCATGAAACTGGGAGGTGAGGCCATGGCCGCCAACTACTCTGTCATCGTCAACTCTCCGGTCATCACTGCAGCCATTAACAAGGAGAGCAACAGAGTGTATCTGACAGAGCCTGTTGTCTTCACCGTGAAGCACCTGCAGGTATTGGTAACGTTGTCTTCCTCCGTAAACAATAACTTCCAAGCCTCTTTGTCTAAATATAGCAAATGGATATGTGGACAGAAAGAAAATGCTTCAGATCTGTGTTTCTCAACTCTTACTGCTGTCTGAGTCGTCTTCTAAACCAGTGTCTCTCAGCCCGGTTCTCAGTACACATTTTTGCTCCCTCCCAGCTCCCTGTCAGAGTCCACATTTTTGCTCCCTCCCAGTTCCCTGTCGGACAGTCCGCATTTTTGCTCCCTCCCAGTTCCCTGTCAGACAGTCCGCATTTTTGCTCCCTCCCAGCTCCCTGTCAGACAGTCCGCATTTTTGCTCCCTCCCAGCTCCCTGTCAGACAGTCCACATTTTTGCTCCCTCCCAGCTCCCTACGGAAGCAAAAACGTGGACTGTCTTGGAATCCCCGGGGACTGTATAGAGAAATACTGGTTTAGAAGACGACTCAGCCAGTAGTAAGAGTTCGTCACAAATAATTGTGTCATGCTGCAGTAATAGTTTTACTAGAAGAAGATTTTAAAACAAGTTATTGTAGTTGAGCTTGCCCAACACAATAGTGTTAAGTAATATTCTTTTTAAAGTGATTACTTACGTATTTTTTAATGAAAGGAAACATTTCAAAATAAAATGCACAAACACATAGAGGACACGTAAAATACATAGATAATGGATTAATGGATTTGATGTATTTTTACAATTTCAGTGTAAAAAATATGCGTAAAAACTGAATAATATATATATATAGCCAAACTAGGGTGTGATGATCAGTGATTAAACTGAGAAATAGTGTCAGTCCAAATATAGCTGAAAGACCCAGGAAAGCCAGCAATCCCTGCTTTGTTTTCTAATTCTTATTAAAGAGGTGAGTCATGAAGAGGTTATGCACCTCCAACTGTAGTATAATTTCAGTAATGTGGAAAAAAGTGGTTAGACTGAGTACATCTGAATCACTGGGCCAAAAGATCAAGACTAAAGTCGCGGAACACATGGCGAGATTGCCGCGGTTCAGGAAGGGGGGGTGGCTGTGAAACACCATGGTCACGAAATGAAACAGGAGCCACTGAGCGCAAGGTCAGGAATATTAATATCACCTTGGGGATCGCCTGTACTTCGTCCAGTTTCTGTGGCTTGTACATTGGCGGTCCTTTTCGTTATCTTTCACAGACCGCCGTCTTCGGGAGACCGCCACCTTCCCGGTGTAGTCCCCTCACAAGCCCTTTAGGTTATGCCATGTGGCATGTGATCGCTGTGCGGGAAGGACGTCTGCGCAGACACGCCTGCGACGTCAACGTTTATCAGTTGCTGGTAGAACTGGGCCGTAAATTTAGCAAATCTTCTGCCTGTAAATCTTGCTATTTGACTGCCTGATAATCCAAAGAAATAAAAATAGCCAGGGCCTATTCCGCAGGTAAAAAATGGCTGTCATTACAGCAGCGATATCCCTTTCAAAGAAGGACGCCATTGTATTTCAAGGGGGCAACTAGCACCAGTGGAGGATATAATGAAAGGTCAAAATTACCTTTAAATAAATGCCTATGGACCCTCTCATAGCACAAAAGAGCTCTGGAGGTACACGTGCTGAGGGTGAACGCGGTATATTGTCATATTGATATAGCCTAACTGGTTCCTACAGTATTATGATTTAACTGCTGCTTCTACCATGGGTACCACAGAGTATTTGGTGGATTTTTTTTTTAACGTTACTTCTGTTTTTTTTCCGTTAATTATTCATGAATTGCTTCGGTCACAGCATTCTGAGGAGAACTTCAACCCAAACTGCTCGTTCTGGAGTTACTCGAAGCGGACGATGATAGGATACTGGTCGACGCAAGGCTGCCGGTTACTGGGCACCAACAGAACACATACTACCTGCTCCTGTACCCACCTCACCAACTTCGCCGTCCTGATGGCCCACGTTGAGGTTAAGGTAGCCTTCCACTTCTCTATTCGCCATTAATATTTGTCACACTTCATTGATATCCTTCCTTAGACTGGCATGGTATGCAAATATCAGTCACTTTGTTTGACCAAGACATTTTGAATGGCACCTTCTTTAGTGTTTTTTTCTATTATTATTTTATTGTGATGAGAGCTTTCTAAAGATGTAGCATAAATGAATAGCAGCAGCTTTGAGCGGCAATGAGGAATTCTCGCAGACTGTGGTCACAAAGAAGAGGATTTACTTTGAATTGTTGGTGTCCCGCCCCCCCCCCCCCCCCCCCCCCCCCTAGAGATGGATGGATGGATGAAATGGGACCCTCTCTCCCTGGCTCTTAACAAAACGTGCTTCATTCTGCAAAACTAAACTGGTATGAATTCCTAGCCCCCAAAAAGGGCAAATAACGATTGGGAGAAACCAAGCATTACCAGTGACTGGACGGGTCAGAACAGCAGGACTTTGGCCTGTAAGAATGTTTCCTTTGAGAGTGTTGAAAATAAAGGATTGATTCAAGATTCTTCTTTTAAATTACATTTGCGTATTAGGAATCATGTTCTGCTTGGTCTATTGGTGCATAATTTAGCTTAAATTTTAAATGCTGCAATTGATATGTTACGTGACGTTATTAAGGTGACAGTGCTGTTTTTTTTTTTTGGTGCTCGTTCATGCAGGGCTTGCGTTTCTTCCTTGCAGTAGGATATGTTAATATTTCTGTTATCGGTGAGAAAAGCTGGTAAAACAAGGTGTGAATTCCCAGAATCCCCCCCCCCCCTTTCAGCTAGCCTATGTGGAAAGTACGTTTATCACCGCGAGCTCCCCGAGGAGTGCTACAACCCAGGCTTCTCCCCCACGACAGCCGTATATGTCGCTCTACCACAGACATGTCATGGTCTCCGTCATTACGACATCACGGCTCCCGTCCCGATTGGCTCACGTTCCACGTGACCCTTGCCCCCAGGTTTGTCGAGGCGGCCGGCCCAGGTCGACAGGGTCAGCCCGCCTGAGCCTGAGCGGCCCTCGGATGAGCAGCGCCTTGCGGAGAGGGTGGGGGGCGGGGGTTGGGGAGCTTTATGGGAGGTCTCCGTGGGGACGCCACATTTCTGCAGCCGAAAGCAGCTGCTATTCCACTCAGGAAAATTGATCATAAAACTCCTCCAAACCGCCGTTCTGATCATTTTTCTTCAGGGAGCCAACAAAAAAAGTTCTGTACTCTCTCTTAAGTACCGAACGCTGACTTTATTTTCAGAAGCATTTATTGTATGAACGTCTTGCAGCAGAAATTAAAAATGGATGGGTGCGTGGATAGATGATCACCTTTTTTTTGACAGGATAAGAAACTCTGATGCATCTATATGTTCACCGATATACACACATGTGAAATTGCATAACTAAACAAGTTCCAGGACGAAATAAACTTGTTTTATGGAACGTGTTGGCATTCCATGCTGTTTGATTAAGTGATCCTCAGTGTTGTCATAAATGTTAAATAAATATGAAAAAATAAATATATTAAAGGAGAACATTACAATAAATTATTTACATAGCACAATGATATATTGCAGAGAACAGATGGGGCAATTTAGTGATTTATGAATAGGAATTAAATATTTTTCTCTGTGGGAAAATGAAGTTTTGGTTTTTATCATTTTCCATGATGCATGTATGGATTTGGGGGAAGGTCAAATGTGGCAAGAATTAATATTGTTTATAGTTCTATAAACATACACACACACACACACACACACACACATATACGCACACACACATGCAAACACACACACACATACATATACACACACACACACACACCCACAGTAGTGTAATCATATCTTTTCGGGAAAAAAATGCTAATGCTAACTATGACAACCTTAACCCCTACCCTGCCCTAACCTTAACCATAAGTAACCAAACAAAATACAAGAGTTTTTGCATTTTTAGTTTTTTCATTGCAGTCATGGATTTTTATAAAATAGAATTTTCCCATATGGAGACCAGGAAACACACACACACACACACACACACATACATACACATATACTGTATATGTATAAGCAGAGCAATTAACGCTTTAATTAGTTGTAGCAGTCAGAAATGGTAAATTTTGCAAATGAGATGGGAGAAGTTTAATCTCATTTTTGGACAATGCGCTGGAGTGATTGCACTCTCTGTCCACGGGAGCTTTTTGTCTCGTAGGAATTAATTAGACTTCTGCTCAATTCCCAGCTCATTTTATTCATTTCTGAAATGAACTCCTCGCTTTCATCTCCGCCAAAGATGACGCGCTGCATCCTGAGGAATCTGACATCGGTGAAATAAAACAAAATAGTGGCTCAGTGATTAAAGGTCAGACGCTGTGCTGCTGCTGTTTATCTGATTTTTGTATTGTTCGGAAAGTCCAAAGTCCCTGGTGGATATCGCATGATTATCTTATAACGCTTTTGCGAATCTTTCAATATATTCAGTGTGAGATGGACATACTGGCAGTTTGGCAATTAAGCTGTAACCAATGCAAGATTCATCTTTATTATTTCTAAATAGCTCATAAATGAATTCTTGAAATAATTTCCTCTGCAGCTCTGCTAATGTAGCCTAATGAAATTCGCTACCATATAAATAAGCTGAACTTCCTTAGCTTGGAAAAGATTTGCGAAGTTAACCTTTTTGATTGATTGATTGATTGAATGATTGATTAATATATTAAGTGATATGTTAATATATTCCATTGAGGTTGAAATTTTTAAACAAATTTATTTAGTTTTGGAACTTGCTGTGTAATTTAAAATTGTCCATGTGGGATAAAAGGATTGAACGGTGGTCATATGGGCCATCTTCCTTCTGGACCTGTTGCGTTTTCTGGATCGTGGTTAAGTTCACTCTCACTTAATTGGATAGCTTTGGCTGGATTTTGTCAGTTCTTGTGTTCAACATCTTTTAACCATATTGACCCCAGATGAATGAATTAAACATTACTGTGCCATTGCAGTCTGAACTCAGGACTCTCTGCTTAAGTATCACGGCTACACTCTGTTGTAGGTACTTAATTAATGCAAACACAAGTCTAGCTGTTCCTTGTTGGTGGGTGTGCACACAGGTCCTAGTACCGTATGTCACAAGGCAATCAAAAGAGGGCGAGAATCAGAGTGTTACATACAGTACCACTGAATAGCTTGGACACGTCAAGCCGCGTACAAAGGAGAGTGATAGTGTCACATCACATGATCAGGTCACCTGACCTAAACTCAGCAGAAATGGTTTTAGAGGAGTTTGACTAGAGACTGAAGGAAAAGTGGCCAATGAGGGCTCAGCATATGTGTGGGACCTCCTGCAGGACAGCTGGAAAAGCATCCCAGTCCCTGGGGTAATTGGGGTTAAGGGCCTTGCTCAAGGGCCCAATGGTGGCATCACTCTGCTGAACCATGGGATTTGAACCAACAACCTTCTGAGTCCCAACCCACATTGCTGCCCCTCCTCCCCAGCAAATTATTTTTTTAGTTTAATATTTTATTAATATTTTATTTATTAGTCGGGGCGTAACGCCAAATACGTTATTTTATAGTTTTGATAACTTTATTCTAAAATGTAGAGATTAGTACAAATCCAGGAGTGGGTGTATCCAAAGTTTTGACTAGCTCTGTATATATGTTCAGAGCAGATCCAGCTGCTGACGGGTCTCTGTCGCACGATCATGAGATGCTATAATCTAGGGCTGGGGGACATGGGCGATAACAGCACAGTAGTAATAGGAGAAGTCGGGTGTGATGATGATGGCTTGGATGAGGCTGTAGTGTGAAAGTAGAAGAGAAAATGTCTGGACTATAATCTCTTAGACCTCTGAGAGCCGGACGAGATAATGAGACAGTTCCAGCAAGTTATCTGTTAGGAACTATTAAAGAGGTTAAGAGCTGTATAGAGGTGAGACCATTTGCGCTTCAAATGCAAAGTCAGGTTTTTAAGGTCCTACCTTTAATCAGCACAAGGTTCATCTTTGGCTCTATTCTGTTGACATAATCACATTTGAAACATGTGCAGTTAATTTTACTGTTATTACTGTACCATAAACTGTAGGTTTGTGTGAATCAGAGTGTACGGCTCAGATATGGATTCCAACCAGTCTATCTGGCCTATACACAAGGCAACGACGGCAGAGCGTTTTATGTAAAAGAAAGGAGTATGTATATGACCTCACTTTGATTTAATTTTCCGGTTCATGCACATACACGGGCACGGCTGCACCTTACTTAATCTGCACTGCTTTTTAGTGAATTGATTCAAGTCATGAATGAACTAAATTGCTAAGGAAAAGCATGCAATTTATAAATTATTTTTTACATTTTAATTGAATATAATTAAATATTATTTAAATGCTAACTGATATTAAATTATTTTTTTTTACTCTGAACACTGATTAAATGGAGCAAATGGAACATAAACCATTGTAACAGTAATTACAGAAAATCAATACGGTATTCTCAGTGTCTGGCTAAAATACCTCTGCACTAAATAGGCCTGAAACTAAAATATGTGTTTCAAGGGACAGGCGATTGATTATGATACCTTGGAAAATCTGCCGCTGTCTCAATACCCATTTCAAACCAATCAATGCACAGACACATTCACTCAAACTTAAATAAAATGTGTAACTTCAAGAAAGTCTATAAGGAATTCACAACACTGGCAGTGGTTTTTATACATCGATTTGTTTGATGGTTGGCTTTTGTGTCATCTGTCCTTGTGGCATTCCAGAACCATTTGCCCAAAAGTTTCAGAATCGGAAACGGTATGACTCGTGGTGCCCTGCGATGTCCCGCGATGCCCCTCGATGCCCCTCGTGCTTGGGACAGTGGGTCCCTCTATTCTACAAGGCACCAGATTTCGGTTTTGATGGGAAAGTATGATAAAAGTGGACTGGATGATGTTCTGAATGCCTTCAAAAATCCTCTTGCCAGATGAGTAGCTCAAACAGGCTTCCTTACACAGGCAGGAGATCAAGAGAGTTGGTCTATCAGATGTCTTTTGAAGTGCAGCATCCCAGTGACAAGTCCAGCCAGCCAGTGTGCTCACGTCTCGGGAATCCATTGGTCAGGTCTGATTTACTTTTTGCGATCTGCTGGGACATCAGTGTTTAGACGCATTCAGATCCAGATCTTAAATGGGACCAATTTTAAATTCAACTGGTGAAATAAAAAAAGTATGCTTTTCATCACACTTAAAGTGAAGAAAAAGAGAAGTATGCTCATTGTTTCAGTGACAGGCGAAATCCAGTGCTAAATAAAGAGACAAGAGCAACGGGTGAAGCCAAGACTGATTGCTCAATTCTACCCAGAGAAGATGGTTGTTGTTTTTTTCCCTGACTGGAGGCCTGTCTTCTGGGGAAGGCCGGGGTGGTATCGAACATTCAGTAAGCAGCCACGCTCGCCCCAAACCAGAGCGCATAAATCGATGCCCCTCTCAGCATGATATAGGAGGATAAGCTTTCCAATACATCAATGTCCCGTGGAGTCATTAAGATTTCCAATGCAAGTCTTCGGAAGCGTTTTTTCAGCTACCGCTAATGTCAGTCAACAGCGGGCCTTGTGTCTTGTGAACTGGATATAGGCTTTCACTGGATAATAACTGTACAGCATCACACTGGATAACAGCCCACTTAACTTCACTGTTTCTTCAGGTGGCCCAGTAAACAGGGTAGTGATCATCTAGCATGTTTTGGGTGTTTTTTCCCTGTCAAACCTAGCTGATACGGTGAATAAAACTGATTATTTTAATGCAAGCAAAAAACTAAAAATGCCAAAAGAATTTTATTTTGTTTGGTTACTTATGGTTAAGGTTTGGACTGGGTAGAACGTTAAGGTTGTCATTGCTGGGATTAGAGTTTTTTTCCATGGAAATTAAAGGACGGTCCCCACAAAGATATGGATTCATTGTGTGTGTGTGTGTGTGTGTATGTGCATGTGCATGCGTGTCTGCAGTCTATATCAGCGATTGCCGAAGGCTCGAAAGGTGAATTTTTAAGCCAATTCTGTTACTATCTTTATGAGTCATAACAAGGGTACATTCATTAAACCCGAAATCTCTTCGGTCCATGGTTGTTATTCCTCTGGGCAAGAATTTATGTGGCTGCAAAGAGGTCATGGTTGGTTGTGCCGTGTCTGTCCCCACCGCCGAGAGCCCAGAGAGGGCCTGGAGGTCAATCCATCACTGGGATGAAAATGCAAAACTGGTCAGTGGCCCAGCTGCGAAATAAATCAGGACAACAAGAATGGCCAATGTACCACAGCGCTCCAGCAAGCAGACCACGCCGGCCTAAAATTTAGAAGCCTTCAGATTGAAGTGATTTCATAAGGATGGTTACGCTATTCACTGGAGTATTTTGCACATAGCCAGGCCCCATCAGCCTGAAAAATTTGAGGGATATGAAAAGTTAACTAACCGCAGAGGTGCGTAGGGACTGCTGGGAATGTACCTTGAAGCAATTTGTTCTGTCTTCTCCGTTTTCATTTTTTTTTGCTGCCTGGCAACATTATTGCGTTGAAAAGTGAGGACCACCGCATCTCGCATCACATTCAGACTCATTTCCTCGAGATGCTTGTGATCGGAATCCAGTCATAAGCCCCCCTGGGTCACACATGCGTCCACCATGGTCTGCATTTCTGTGAGGATTTATAACATGCGATCAGTTTTTTTTTATTAAAAATTATTAAATTATTATTATTATTTAATTCTGGGATATCTCCTATGTCGAGCAAAGGCCAGGACACCAGGACAGGTTTTTAATTGTGAAATTAATTTCATGACCATGTGTCATGCGTTTAGTACTGTTGCTTTTTGTAGTGTAATGTATGTGTTTGGGTGTAAATGTAATATTTGTAGGCTTTTGTGTTGTGCGTTTGGGGTGCCACTTGTGCAAGAAAGAACAATGGGGACAATGACCTATTATTATTATTATTATTATTATTTCTAGTTGTAGTAGTAGTATTGTTATTTGTGGTAGTAGTAGAAGTATTAGTGCTTGTTTCCTTTCTTTCTTTCTTTTTCTTTCTTGTGCCCTGTGACCCTGTGACCCTGACCAGGATAGCAGTTTGAAGATGGATGGATGTAATATTCACTATTACAGATGATGCACCAAACCAGATTTTCTCATCTTCAAAAGCACCTATGGTTTCTGTTTTTCTGGTCGTGTGACACACTCGAAGGGAGTGTCTGTCACAGACGCTTCTGCCTCAATGGTTTTGAAGCCCACTCGTGATCCCATTTAGCAGGCGGATCATTGGTCTAAAATTGAATAGGGGGGAGGAAACGGAATCTTAGCTGGCGCAATAATCGGAGCCTAGAGAGGCCTGGAACATTTTATGAAAGTAATTATCCTACATTAATAAATAATTAAGTCCGATTCTAATGTTTGTGATTCAGGTTGGAAGACTGGCATTTGCTGAAATATGTAAACTTTAATGCGTAATCCAGGAAAGATGCCCACATACCAAAACACTCACCAGCTTTATACCCCCGAATGATATGAATGGAAACTCAACTGGCTGTCTGATGTCTGTATTTACAGAATGTGGACCCTGTTCACGAGCTCCTGCTGGACGTCATTACCTGGGTGGGAATCCTGCTGTCCCTTGTCTGCCTGCTCATCTGCATCTTTACCTTCTGCTTCTTCCGGGGCCTTCAAAGCGATCGCAACACCATCCATAAGAATCTCTGCATTAGCCTCTTCGTCGCCGAGTCGCTGTTCCTCGTCGGGATCAATAGAGCTGATCAGCCAGTAAGATTAGCTCACTCGACAAGTGTTTTCTCAACCCACATTTTTGCTACAGTGCTGTCTGTCCCGTCTCAGTCATGTCTAACAGAGAAATTATAATGCATTTTGAATCTATTATTTGCAAAATAATAAAACACAGCTTGCTATTTAATGGGCAAACCCCATAAGTTCAATGTATGCTGAAATAGAGGCCAAATGTTTTTATACAAGCAATGATGAAAAAGAAGCATTAATATGTTAATCAAATAAATACAAACATGGGTCAATTAAAACCACGTCTACAATTATAGGAGTCGGGGTGTTTTGTGACCCTAAGCTTTTTGCATTTTTTTGGGAAGTCAGTATTTTGCATTTACATTACATTGCATTTCCTGTCGCGTATCTATTTGCAAGAGCAGTCAGCGTATTATGTTTGAAATATCGGTGTCATTTCGTGCAACAGAGTGCAACAATCAGAAGTACAGGGGTAGCTAGCCAAATCATATCGTTAATAACCAGACCTAGGGTGAGCCTAGGGTTATTATGAATCGACTGAGATCCGTTGCGCGGGCTAATTTCGTAAACGTGGCTGGACTGTCGGTGCTTTCCCGTGCAATTCACGTTTGTTCTCCCCTTCAGTGTCTGGCCATCTGGGCTCACTGGAGCTGCAGGGTGAGTGCTTTTTAAAAGCCCCCCTCTGTCCGCCCCCCCCCCCCTTAGTGGAGACGTGAGTCCAAGCAGCTGGAAGTTTAAAGCTGCTACTGCGGCTCCCTAAATTCCGGGGATGATCTTGCATCACGGATCACTGTGGACCATTTATCGCTTTGCCTCGGGGTATTGTCACCTCGGCAGAACAGCGGAGTCGTTGTGAGCTTAGAGGCGTCCTCCATGGTAACGTTTCCTACACCTGCCTTGTGGGCGTGAAAACGATAGCTATGTACAAAGCCTGACTGCTGTTAATTACAGTCGCGCTGTATGAATTTGACCCCCTCATTAATGGAATGTGTTTCACTGTATCTACATGCACGGTGAATAATAAGTATTTTATTTGAATATCGCATTACCTACACTAGTGCCAGATATAGAGAGTATAGAATTTCAAGACACGAAACAGAAAGTACTTTCCTCACTTCTCTAACACGAGCCAAGCAGCAGATACGTATCATGTGACCATATTGTTGATTTAAATACAATATGGCTTTCTGTTTCTGGGTCGCATGCACTGCCGCGTATTCCTGACTTTATATGCCGTCCTGTGAAGATGTATTTCCAGTCTGCATGTCGGCATAATTTTAACGCTGAATTTTATCAGATTTTCATCCAACTCAGATTAAATATTTGATAAAAATGCGAAAAACACAAAAGACTCATATTTTTTTATTTGATACAGAAACTTACATAACAGTTCATTCTCCCATGTGAAAACACCCCCCTGCACTTAGTAACTACTTTTGGAACATTTATCTGCAAACACCTCCTGTAATAATTGCAAGAACAATCCTGGCTCACTCTTGCATACCAAACTTACCAAGTTGATGACATCTGTAGGTTTATGAACTCAGACTGTTTCTTTGGGGTCTCACTGGGGTTTAGATGAGGCGTAGACCAGTTTCTTGCTTTTCTGCTGTTCTAAAGTAGACTGTCTTTTGTTTGAAATCACTTTCTCACTGCGTGACTCACTGACACTTAACGTTGAGCTCCCAAAAGAATGACTCAACTTTCTCCTGTAGAATTCTCTTGTTAAAAGGAGAAATGCAGATCCTTCCATGATGCCAAGTCAGGCAGGAGGTGATGCAGAGAATCTTACTGATGTCATAAAAGCACCACGATCATTTATGATGTTGGAATGGCATTCAGACTGTAGAAGGCTTTTGGTCGCCTCCAGACACAACAGGACCCATGTTGGCCAAACTTATTTCTGACTTACATTTGTCTTCCAGTTGGGTTTTGGCAGTGAGATGTCCTTAGTCAGTAGTGCTTTCTGCCTTTCCATTTAACACTATCACATATCCAAGCATCTTTCTGACAATGGAATCAGCGACACTGACATAAGTCAAGGCAAGAAAGGTCTGTGGATCCCTGGATGTTGTTGTAAGGTTTTTTTTTTGTGAAAATTTAATGCCTTGTTCTTTGAAAGATTTTGGCAGGACAGCAACTCCAGGGACAACTCAACGCTGGTCCAAACATTCCCCTTTTGGACAGCATATCTCTGATTGTGGTTCAGTCGAGCAGCAGAGCCTTAAAAACAGTAACCCTTTTCAGACTGATTCGTACCACGAGGTTACCACAAAACTCTAACTACTGTACCTTATTATACCTTAATTTAATTAGCAAGACAATAACTGCACACTTGAGAACAACATTACTTAAAATAAGCATGTGGGTTTTTGTTTCATACTCTCACTTAAGTGATACTATAACTTAAAAAGACATGGCCGAATGCACCAATATAATCCTGCAGAAGAATCACTAGAGACAAACAGGGTTTGGTGCCAATCGAAGCATGAAGATTACAGTGTAGACCTTGTATACTTTTTGTTACAGCTGAGATAATCTGGATTGATGTAGGATCCACTCAATAAAATTTGCTGTTTGGTGTTTATTTGTGAAGACAGCACCCTTGTGCATTTCTGATATTTGTAGTAAAACAGCATACTCATCATTTGGAGTTGAGTGCATTGTTTTGATGGAAGTTATTTGAATTAATTTAATGGAACTATAGGATGTTTTCCAAGTATCAAACCTGGAATATAAGTAGTCTTCTGCCATTTACAACTATCATTTACTTTTATGGTCCTTTCGCTGGATTATAGTTGTGCTTTGGGCACCTGTCATATACTATAAACTCTTCATTTACCTTCCATCATACAGCAGACACACACACACACACACACACGCATATGCTCCTTAAAACACTAGTCTGCTGCAGTAATAGAGCCATCATCTGAATTATTGATACGAAAAAAGGGCCGGGCTACTTCTCGTTCATGGCATGTTCTCTTTGTGTCTCAATCCGTGCAGCGACCTAAAAGACATGCGTGGAATGAACGTTGCGGTCACCTCAGAGCCGAAAATCCAAACCCGCTACTCCTGTCATACCCACACAGCCTGACCCAAAACTCCGAACCCGCTACTCCTGTCATACCCACACAGCCTGACCCGAAACTCCGAACCCGCTACTCCTGTCATACCCGCACAGCCTGATTTATTATACAAGCCGCCTTATTCATTGATCAGTGTTATTGCCTCTCTAACTGCGTGACATGCATGCAGATGTGGGAAGCCAGTGGCACACGGCACTCTTACTACACTACATTAAACACGACTCTCCCTGTTCTGTAAAAAATGATGTCGGTTCCTCCTCTCGCACCTCCCATTTCATCCCACAAGAACAAAACAAAATGCTCAATCTTCGGCATGAAGGCATCACTTTGGTTGTGTCACTTTCATGCTTGCGGTATAATGAATCATCACGATGCCACGTTGATCATCTCATTTGGCCGTGGAATTCTCAACTGCTACAGAAATTGTGACCATTTTGGCTGTTTTTCACGTTCGTTAAAGTGAAGTACTACTGGTTTATGCCATGAGAGTATAAAGTTCTTACGTTTTAAAAAACTTAAAAGATGTATAGCCAAATGTATTAGATATGTCAAGATTTGACCAAGTTAAAAAAACTTATTTGGGAGCTGTATAGTCGTTTGTTTGCAGTGTATTTTGATTTGTTTGTTCAATCTCATACAGTATGTTTCTGCCCATAAGAATGAGTCTAAGGTCAAAGGCTCAGCGCATGTTTAACGCTTCTTCATTGACAATAATCTTAAAGCATCTCTCAGATTCCTCCACAGTTGGGGGAGAGCAGTGAGTATTTCCACTTGAACACGACGGCCCTCTCCCTCCCCCGACAGATCGCCTGTGCCGTCTTCGCCGCCCTCCTGCACTTCTTCTTCCTGGCTGCTTTCACCTGGATGTTCTTGGAGGGCGTGCAGCTCTACATCATGCTGGTGGAGGTGTTCGAGAGTGAGCATTCCCGCAGGAGGTACTTCTATCTGGTGGGCTACGGCGTCCCGGCCTTGATCGTGGCCGTGTCCGCCGCCGTGGATTACCGCAGCTACGGGACAGACCGAGTGTGAGTACCCCCCCCCCCCCCCCGACCATTCCCGGGCCCGCTTCCAACACACTGGGGCTCTGTGATAGATGGCGAGACCTGATGAGGGAAGAGGGAGTTTCCCGCGAATGTTTGGTGCTAGGAAAGAGAAATGAGTAATCTATCCCATGGAGCTACAGGAGCCTGAGAACCGCGGGATGCCGCGCCTCATGGCGGGAAAGAAAGAGTGACCGCGACATAAAATACGGCTTGCATAGATGATTTAGCTACCATGGTAAACAACAGGGAAAAAATGAACTGAATCAGATGGAGGTGGGTTTTCTCTTTTAATGTGGAAACCCAGCTTACGTCTTCCATTTTAAAACAATTTATCGGTGCCGTACCTTTAAGAGACGGGGGATTGTTTTGGTGTGGATGTTTACATTAGATGCCTCTGGGCCAATGAATTGCTTTCTGGGGCAAATGACAATGTTACCAAGGTTCGATGCAAGGTTCTAGCAAACAAGTATGTAAACAGAACGAAATAAATGAAATCAGTGATACGGGATTTGGGCATTAACTTAGAACATTTCAGGTGGAGCAAAAACAATCACAGTCACAGGGAAAAAAAATCATAGAAAGAAATTTGCAGTGTATTATTGACTCTATTAACCTTTGAGAAGATAAAGTTAAATCATGGTATATTAAGTTTACATTTGTAAGTCTCACAGTTCTGTTTTCTCTTTCATGCTTAAGGGCTGTTCAGAGAGATTGGTTTGCTTTCTTATGAATTTAAGCCCTTTATGAATATAAATGCCTTTAGATGACTAGATAAAGACATTGGGGATGTATTTGCTGTTAGTGGACAGAAAACACAGATCATTTCATCAAACTTTTGATGAAGCTCCTTGTTTGAATGGATGCAGATTATCTGAAGGTTAGTATTATAATATTGTCATAAAAGAATTGATCTGCTATCTAAGAATGTTACACATAAATATTTCATGTCAGACAAGAGAAACTTAGATCTCGAAACATCGTCATCTCCATGTAGGTACTCTGTGTGTCACTGTTTGTGCTGATTTTTGTTAGTTCTGCTACATTCTCTTTTGGAACCATTTGAATTAAAAGCATTGAGACTGTAGGAAAACTGTAGTAATCCGAGTCTCTGAGCAATATTTGAAGTGTTATTATTGCTATAGTCCCCAACATCACTTCAGCGCATTTAGGAAATTTTGTCCTCTGCTATGAAGTCAGTTTTTATGTCATCTCATTTGATCCCATGGTTTTTAACCATTTTTTTTTATTCAACTATATGTAACGTGACCTAGTCCTTGTGTCTTTGTATCCTCCATTTTTACTAGTACTGGAAAGCAGATTATTTCCGTTCTTTCTGGCAGAGACCGTGGACGCTTCTTAGAGTCACCGGAAAACAAATCCCCCGAGGAAAAACTTGCGCAGACTGTCGAGGACAAAGAATTTTCTAGATGACTCTACCTTCAGCTGCTCTGCAGCCGTTTTTAAAGATAACCAGTGTAGCGGCCTTTCCGATGTGAATTAAAATGGACACACAGTGACATCTGAACAAAGTGTTTTATTCAAACGTGTGACGGCGATAGATCTTAGGCTATGATTCAGCTACACAGGGTTTTGCAGGTCAGTTGGAGGACAGCTCTCCCCCAGTGGGAAAAACAGGCCATTTCTCAGATCAAACCGGATTGCACTTCGAAGGATGCAAATTACACTGTATAATAATGTGACAGTTTCCTCAACACTGGATTGATAAACTCAGACTCAAAGAAGTCGGCATATTCCAGATAAAATACATATACTCAGAAAATGAAGGTTGCTTATTGTTTTGCTGTGCATAACCTTTGAATGAAACATATTAGTAAACTATGCAAGGTGTGTGTTAAAACCTGTATTCTGTCTTTACTATTGTTGGAAACTTTTGATCTTAATATCTAATCCTAAGGCACCTTAATCATCATGATTTGTCTTCAGAAGTCATAACTAGGAGATCAGTTACTTAATGCATGCTGTGGGTTATAGCAGGTAAAAGCCTAAGTACTCTTCCCTTAGAAATGGCACAGGATAAGTGTACCATCTTCCTGTATGTAATTTCCGCGTGCTTTTATATTCTTATATTACTCTGAATGTCTTACATTCAAATATGTTTAACTTGCTTTCTATTTTGCTTAAAATGTTAGACTTTAAATCCATCCCTCTTGTACCTATTTCAGAGTCCAGGTTCGTCTTTAAAAAAAACAGTGAACAGTGATTAGCAGTGATTAGTGAAATACTAAGTTTTATGTTTTAAAAGTCATGGATTAAATGAAACGTTGTTTGGTTGCCCCAGTTTTCTCTCGCCCGTCACCTTAAACGGCAACAGAGCAGGATAATGCTATTCTGGAGGCAAAGCATGGAGGTCTAGCTTAATGTGCTGGAAATTAAATGATTAATAATTTAGCCGCAGGTCATGAATTAACTTCCGCTTTGCCATCTTGATGCATGCGAGGCTCCACATAGACCTGAGAACGAAGGTGATTCTATGAGTTACGTAAGTCTCAGGTATTAATTTTTCATTTAGCCAAACATTAAAGTGATGAGAGCTGAATTAAAGGAACCTAGGTTACTCAATCGCTGCATTTATGATGGCGGGTATATGTAAATAACAGGTGCTATGTGTAAGCAGGTGTGTGCGCGTGTGTTTGTGCCCTTGTGTCTCCTCGCACATGCCCAGAATCGGGGAGGAATCCTGGCCGGGCATCTCATCTTTTAGCCCGTCGCCTCCCAGAGATAATTAGCTCGCTTAATCAATAATGCTGTCACGGCTCGCGCCTGTAATTTAGCATTTAAATGAACAAGCGGTGTCATATTTCCCAGCTCCTGCAGAAAGGCTCTGGGGCCGCCATTGCTCTCTGTCACATTCTCGGCGCTGATGCCTGCGCCGTTTCCCGGGCCCCTGAACAGCCGCTCTCCCTTGTGTATGATTGCAGGTGCTGGCTCCGACTCGACACCTACTTCATCTGGAGTTTCATAGGTCCGGCTACGTTGATAATTATGGTAAGCAGGCCCGCATTAACCCGCTCCCCCCCCTCTCCCCCTCTCCGCTCCTCATTGGGCTCGGCGTACGATCCGTCGAGCATCCTGGCACCGGAATTGCCTCGGGTCCGTGTGGATCCCTGCTCGTTTATCACCGCGGCCGCCGTGCGCCTCGGTGCTCCAGTCCCGGGGCTAGCTGGTGGGCGGCAGACGGATCTTCCTCATTTGTGCTGCAGGGGGGGGCGTCGCGACCGGGATTAGCTTGGAAAGCGATATGCTTCAAAGGCTCCGCCTGCGGGACGGACCTCTCTTGACCGGGTCTGGCCTTCCGAGTCGCACCGAGGACCATCCCCCCCCCCCTCCTGAAAGAGGATCTCAGTTCCCTCCCCAGAATTTCCTTCGCCGTACCCAATCCCCATCGGAGCTGGAGATCCTCTCTCGTTATCCCATTACCGGCTGCTTTATTGAATAAAAAAAAAAAAAAAAAGATATTTAAAACCTGTAAAAGAAACAAAAATTAATTAAAAATCCACAAATTTTACAATGTTTATAATGAATGACGGCGTGTGTGCAAGAACCAGCAGTCCGGTCCCCTGAGCTCCAGTTCTAGTTGAGATAATTGGTTGCGGGGGACATTTAATCAATTAGCTGAATGTCACAATGCCTATGCATGGTACAGTACATAGTCGGGACGGAATGTCAGAAATGTCATCCGCCGCCGGTCAGGCCACAAGGATCCAGGACCATGAGATCCTCCCAAGATAACCAAACCGAACAACTAAAGCTGGTTTAATGCATGTGAGGGTGCCACTCATGCAGTCACGCTATTGGACGACTGTGGCCTTTGGTACGGAGCTGATGTCATCAGACGGTGCCCAATCTTCACTGGGTGTTTCGACCCTTAACCGCGACACCCTTCCAGGTGGCAAGCAGCAGAATCTTACTGTGTTCATTTATTCTTGAGGGCTAATGGTTAAAAACAACAGCTCAAGAAAATAGCAAAACTGCAGTATTCGTGAAAACATTTATCTGATTTGATCCCTTGTTCATTTTTTTCCTACTCACAAAGACAGAATGGTGTTTGGTATCTAGCATTACTTTTAAAATTAGTAGAACACTGATGCATTTGGTTTACTGACCCTATTTTTTTGTTTTCCAGCTCAACGTGATCTTCCTTGGGGTGGCCCTGTACAAAATGTTCCATCATACAGCCATTTTAAAGCCAGACTCTGGCTGCTTGGACAACATAAAGTAAGCATCCCAGCTTTTCATGCTCACCTGATATCTCTCATTTCTTACAGGAAAATACACAGAACACACAGTAAGAATAAATCGAGCATGATCAAAATTTGGACTATGGGTATCGGTGCCTGTCCTTAGTTATTTCCAGCTTTGCGCTTTTAGCTTGTGGGGCTATCTCTACACCCCTGAGACCCTGTATAGGACAAGTGGATGGATGGATGGATGGATGTTTTTCAGTCAAAAACCTACTTTTAATATTTAGTCTTAAAGGAATGAAACAAAATTTGTGCAATATCTCAGAAAGAAAAGTGTTTCTATATTTTGTCACTGTTTTGGTGCATGTAAATCATATAAATTTTCCTCACTGAACAACAAAAGAGGAACAGGACCTTCAGTGGCGTAACTCCAGCATTTAATTAGTTTCCATGTCATTGTGTAAGATTTGCGTGCACTAGGCCTGAGCATCCCGGCTGTCTCTCGACTAGCCCCCACCACTGGCAAAGACTAAAAGCCTCCACTTTGTCTACATTGTGCCGTGCGTCGTCCTGGTCCTTTTAATTACATTCAACGCAAGCACTATCATGGGGGGGGGCTGCTATTCATGAGCAAAGCAGGCTTTGGTTGCCAGAAAGGTGCTGAACATCGCTTTCCAAAATGCCGCTTTCATTTAATTCTGGGGTTTCATAGCTGTAAAGCCACACGTGCCATATGTGATTATCATGTTTTTTTTGTGTCAGCCCTTATCTTTGAACTTTTATTTTCATCCAAGCATTCTGAGCAAGAAAATAGCACACCGCAATCTAAAATAGACACAGGGCGATGTGTTAAATGAATTGTCCTTTTTAGCAAAAAATAAATAAATAAAAATGTACGGAATGGATATCAAATAGATTAAAAACCACAAGACAAGATCCCCAGCTTCTGCTGTAAGTGTGCTGTGAGTGGGAGGGAAACGTTCACGTTTCCACCGGGTTTTTGGTCCACATCTTGAAATTATTGGTTAAACGTGCCTCACTTGTCTGATCTCAAGCATTTTCTATTTAAATTCTGAGCAGGCAGCTTGAATGTTTGCAGAGCTGGGAGGGCAGAGAAAATCGAAGAAAACGACAACATTAGCCTTGCACTGAAACACATTTAACATCGCGTGTACTTGAAGATGCACAGAATCCAGGAGACGCTGCGGTCCCTTTTAACATGGCTGCATGCAGCGAATCGCAGGCAGCTGTGAGTTTGCACACTGTGCCGAATTCACATGCCGATTTTCTGCAGTGAGCGCGAAAGAGGGCAAAAGACATAAGACATATGCAGGTATTTCTAAACTTTCCATAATGCTTAGTAAACAAAAGGAAACAAAACGAACTAATACAGACAGGCAGCACGCCGAGAACATCCAACATACGGTTAACTCGTACTTACGAACGGATTGCCATAATGCCTATTATTTAAAAATTCTGATTAAATACAATTGTTCGTAATAACGAACACACCCGCTACTTTGTGACACTTGGTTTCCAGTGCAGCAGGTATTTACTTTTATTCGTACTGCATTGTTATTGTTATTATTATTTCCTGTATTATTATTACTCTAACTTACGTAGAAATTACGTAAGTTAGAGTAGTGTTACGTAGAAATTGGATCTTGTTCGTGTCCTGCCTTCTAGCTGTGTAGTGCATACGCATTAGCAGCATTCACACCTGAAAGAGTTGCATCCATGCAGCCTAATCACAGGAAACATTAATCGGTATGGCTTGTAGCATCTTGTCATGTCGCACTTATTTCCATGTGCATTCATCTATTCTAGAATCAACGGCATCTATTACGCCGTCATTTTTACCCTTCACTTAAAACGTAAATGACAGCATGATGATTATAAAGGTTTCTGTTTTACAGGTATTAATGGTTTTCTTGTGGTTTTCATCAATCAGTCCAAGCCTGAAAAATGAGGACAGCCCCCCAGTCTGTGGTGTGATGTAATATCTATGCCAGTCTCACTGTTTTGCCCTCCTACCTTTCTGCTAATGTAGGACTAGCATGAGACCCTTGGAAATGGTGGATATCTGGATTAATTATTTCCCCATGCAGAAGTGCCAGATTGGCACTGGAGAGTCACAGCGCGTTAGAAGCCCTGGCTGCTCACACTGTACTGCTCGCAGACCTGCACGTCAAATAATGCGATGCAAAAAATATGCATCGCGGTAATCGTTTATTGGCCTCCAAATGAAGGGAGTTTATTGATAACTATGCATCTGTGTCATTAAAGGCATAGTAAGTTTTTTTTTTAAGTATTTCAACCCTACAAATACTGTATATGTACAGTGTCATAGAAAGTACAACGAAAAGAGGTTTTATATGGAGGTGTTTCACCATTGTGTAATGCCAATTTATCTTTTTAGTCATCATGTATTGGGACAAATATCTTTACCAGTTTTAGTAACTGCCTGGGTGCTACGAGTCTGAATTATCACCCTGCCAAACTTTACAAACTAACTTGCTGTTTCTCTGCAGTTTCCAAACTACATCTTCTGTACTGGCGCTCCTCCTTATAGCTCACAGACTCCCCCCCCAAAAAAAAAAAAGCCAAAGTAATGGCACTTAGGAAAATCAGGTCAGTTCAGTAAGTAAGACGTCTTCATAATACGCCCAAGCCAGCAGCCGAGAAGGTCATTAATTTCTTAGGAAAACTATCCGTTTGAGAAATATAGAGGCACACAGACCATCTGAAATCGATTGGCCTGGATTCTCCCACCAAGATGTTTCAGCCTTAATCTCGATTTACATGACTCTTTATTTGCCCTGGTGTTTAAGACCAATAACCCTCGGCGTAATTACAGACTTCCTTCCATCTAAGAAATGATGACTCGGTTATAGTATTTTTATAGATGGGTGTCCACTGTATGGATGTATATGCCCTCCAAGTGGTGTACTTCTGGCATAGCAGACAGCCAAAAATATCACACCGTCTTTTGTCTTCACATCAGATGTTCTGAAGTTCTAATTACAGGGCCATGTGTATCAGCGCTGATATTTCTGACCCTAACTGGCGGCTAGCATTCCCACCCATACTATTCCTACCATTCTGGGATCACACTTTCTTTTGCTTCACAGCTATTGCCAGATTTATTTCATATTTCCAGAAGGTCATACTGCTGTTTATGTTTCTGGATCCAGCGTCCATTAAAGGTATATTGGTAACACTTTAAAGCAGTAATCATAATGCATTTTAGATACCTTCATAATTCATAAAGTGTGGTGAACATGGCCAGGGGCGCCGTAAGGGGGAGGAAAGCTAGGACGATTCCAAGGGCCCCTGAGTGACAGGGGCCCTAAAAAATTAGGAAAATAACTGGATTGGTTTGGACTGGGGGGCTTAATATGATATGCTTTCATGGGGCCCAAAATCTCTAGCAACGCCCCTGAACATGGCTATAACTACAGTGGTACCTTAGAACTCGAACTTAATCCATTCAGAACTCCAGATCAAATCCTAAAAAGTTTGAGTTCTGATCGAATTTTCCCCATAAGAAATAATGGAAAACCAATGAATTGGTTCTCTGCCCCAAAAAATTACACCTACAGTAAATATGTTTTTTTTTTGCATTTAAACACAAAATCAACGGGATAAAACAAGAAGAGCATATACTGTACTAAACACATCTAAGCACATTTATCAAAACAGTAGTTTGTAAAGTAAGAAAATAAATGTATCCATGTGTAAACTTAAAAAAACAATGTGTCCTGCCCCGATCGTCCGCTCCTTCCGTGTGCCACGCCCCCTCGTTAACCCCGTGTGGAATCCCCGTGTGATCAGTTTGTTGTCATTAGTCCTCTTTTCAGTTTGTTTCCCCAGTCCGGTCATTGTATTGTCCGTCTGCGTTTTGCCTGCCTTTCCTGTAATTAAACCCCGTATTCCCCGATACCCTGATGTCTGTGACTTTGTCTCAGTTCCGTCTCCGCTCATCACGACAATATTATTATAATTAAATGTATTAATGGTTTATTATTAATATTAAAATAATGAATAAGAAATCTTTATTTTAAAATGTATTTTATTATATAATAATAATTACTGTTACTGTCTATCATTGTCTAAATGTATTTTTACTGTCTAAATATATGTACTCAGGTAGTGTAAACATGCACGATGCTATCACAGCGAATGCGAGGCTGAGACTGAAGCGTTACCCTTTGTTTCCGCTGAGAGACGTGCCGTGTGACTCATTTCCCCGCGCGTACAAGTTATCTTAGGTCGGTGTTCACAGTTCGACTTCTGAGATTCAGATCGAGTTCTAGGTATTTTTTTTCCGAACTGGTTGGTTTTAAGAAATTCGAGTTCTAATGAGTTCGAGAACCGAGGTACCACTGTATTTATAAAAAGGCATAACACTTTATAGTCATGCTTAATATGCATTATGACTCTCATCTATAATGCACTGTAGATACCTTCAGAATGCATTATAATAGTCACTATAAGCCATTATGAAGGTATTTCTAGTGCATTATAGATAAGAGCTTCATAGATAATTCATAATGCATAATACACATGACTATAATGTGCTATGTCTTTTTATAAAAATAGTTATAGCCGTGTGTATAATACTTTATGAATGCATTATAATGAATTATGAAGGTATCTATAATGTATTATAAAAAAAGTGTTACTGGTACATTTCCTGTCAAAGTAATAGCAAGAGCTATTCCTGCTAAGCAGCCTGGATCATGCTTGCAACTCTACTTGCATTAACAGAGTTTATAAATAAACGACAAAGATGTGGATCACGCAAATAACCCGTGCATCTTCCCAGTCAGCCATTTCCTGCTTTTATCATTGGAATCCATTTACTTTCATCATGAAATCAGCGTGGTCCCTGTTTGAGAAACATCTATGATGAGGGTCTCTATGACAACGTGGCATGGGGTCTAAAAACATAAAATAATAATTGATATCATAATGGGAAGTTGGTAATAGAAGATAATAATTCGACATCAAATTATGTCGTATGAATAACTGTCAGTAAATACACGGTTATTTGCGCCACGGTTATTAGAAGGATTATATTTTTGTGGTTTTGTTTGGCTGCTCGACAGTGTGGTTATGCAACAGATTAATTAGCAAATTAACTGGTATTATGAATTTAGAATAAGTTTGGGAGTGACAGTTGTGGCGTTGAAAAGCAATTATTAAAACTCTTTGAAAGATGGCAAATAAAAAAGTGCAGTTGTAGATTGTGTATATACACCGTCTGTTGTAGAATTACAGATAGCCTATATGTATGATTTGTGTTCTTAAATTGTGCTTGATTTTTGTACGTTTGTAAAATTATAAGTCTTTCTTTGCTTTTTGTATTGTGTTAATTCTCCTTGTATGTCTGCAGATATTTATTAGTCACACTATAGTTTGTGGTTGGGAGTACCCTTCAGCTTTTCAAATCCAAAGAACCCTGCACATGTACCTTGTTTCCATTACGTGTACCACTATCTGAGCTTTCAAGCCCGGCGTTATTTTTCCAGTGTCCTGGCTGGAGCTAAGGGGGGGCACTTTTCCTGTCAAAGCAAATCATATTCACTTCAATAGAAGTTCACTTTTACTTCATCCTGGGCACTTTTTCAGTCATTTACTCACACCGACATACAGATAGACACATTTATTTTGGGATTGTCTCTCCTCTAAACCACCCTGAATGACCATACACAACTGGAGAATGAATATCTATCTATCTATCTATCCATCCATCCATCCATCCATCCATCTGTTTATAACTGTTGATGTTCAAGTTCAGTGCCACAGGGACCCCCTCCCAAGAGGACATTTTGGACATGAAATATGACCATAAAGCACTATCAATATGCATCTTTAATTAAGATGATATATTTCTGATTAATCCCTATGGAGTTCTGATCAAAATTCTGCATAATAAAGAATGCTTCATAATTCTCCTCAGTCACTTTTCTAAAACAGCAACAAAGTCGTTAAGTGTTACAGCTACTGTATCTCTGCCTAATCACCGAGGATGGAACGTGCGGTGCTCTTACTGTAAGTGATAGAGTTTCAGCAATAAGCAGTGCGGTGGCATTAATTCATTCATGATTTTTTGTAGCATTAATTACTGCAAGTAATATAAGTAAATAAATAAAAAAGCTCATAAAATTCCGTAAGTTGTCTTATATTGAATTATTGTACATAGTAATAAATTTTATTATGAGGCTTAACTAGCCCATTGTGCAATTTGTTTAAAAGCCTAGACTGAAAAAAGCACATTTAAGTATTTATTTGTTTGATTTTGTGTAGTAAAATACCCAGTAGTAATTAGCGTAATTGTTTTATTTTTATTTTTTTTTGTTTTAAAAATACAAGAAATGCATTTTTTAATGCATAGCTAAAGAATTCTTTTCCTGTGTAAAATTCAGTTAGTCACGCATTAGAGAGATGGTAAGATCACAGTGGCTTCACCACAGTGATTTTGAAGTTTTAAAATTTTTAATCCTCCTGCACGTGTCCAATAAACTTTGTTTCCTTAGATTATTTTGTACCTGCCCCCCCCCCCACCCCGGTTGCCAGTCTAAATACCTATAATTTCAGTTGACTGATGTCACAAAATGCTTTATAGTTGGTTTTGTGGCTTAATGTATGATTCATGGCACTGCAGAAGGCATAGGACACATATTGCTTTGATTTTTATTTATTTGGTGATTGGGGGGGGGGAGGGGGAGGGGTATAAGGACTCAGTGGAACATTAAGATGTGAGGTTTGAAGCTGTAAGCCACCCCATGTCTTACATGGTGATGTGTGTAAATGCTTTATGGATTCCTTTAGTGTTGTGGAATGTCTTATTTTTGATATCTACAGCTACCGCTTACAATATATGGAGTGAATGAGTATTCTGTTATAGGTGCTGTGAAAGTACTTGGTTTAAACGTTACACTCCGGATCTTTTTTCTCTTCCTCATCTTTTTCTTGACCTACATCTAGTTTATTTTATTTTTGGTCCGCAGAACTTTCCCAGAACATCTCTGCATCCATAACCAGGTTATGAAATATTAAGATCCCCCCACCACCTTGGCCTAGTGAAACAGACCTCTGAACATTTTATGAGACTCAGTATCACTTAGTAGTGTTTTGTTAGTTTAATGACTTTTAAGTACGTTTAGAGATTCTTTGCATCAAGCTGAAGCATCAAACTATACAAACTGTGTTTACGTTACAGTTGTAACTATGGAAACTCAATAATTTCAACTGATACTCAAATTAGTATGAAACCTCCATTAGTGAATGTAAATATGAAAGGTTTTTTTTATGATTTTATACTTTAAGAGAGAAATCTGTTTATAGGCACATTCTAAAAACATCCCAATTTTGTCTCTCATTAATAGATTAAAGCAATACGAGTCAGTTAAATTTACCTTTTTACCTTATTTTTTAAATTGTAATTCTGCCTTTACTAAGGATGGAAAACTTACCAGAAGTAGCCTACCCTTGCACTCAATAAAAAATTATCTTTTCCTGTAATATTCTAATATTAATAAAAAATAAATCCTTTTACACGTGTAATTCTACTAATTTTATTTCAGATACATGTGGATTGTTGCTCTTCTGTGTTTTGCAAATATTTCAGGGACACTCAAAGGATATAGTTTACTAAACATCCTAATAACCAAGATAACATAGATAATGAACATGTTCAGACAGAAATTACCTTGCAATACTGAAGTGTTCTGTCAAAAACTCAGCATTGCATTCCATTACCTAACATCATAGCTGACTTGTCTAAATGTTTGGGACATAGCTAGATATTGAATGAATTTCCTTTCATCCTAAATATTGAGAGAGCTGATGTTGGCAAATTGAAATTTCTATTCATGTTACTGGAAATTACAGCAGTTAACACAAATGCTATTTTTTTTGTCATAATAAAAATAATTTCAGTAACACATTGTGATTCTGTAAATGATCCCTTTCTCAAAACAATATACTACATTGTATCATATGAATCCCCATTTGGTGCAATTTATTACCGTTAAACTAAATATTAATTTATTTTTCAAGAATTGAATTCTTTCTTTTGCTTTGAAAGTAAACACATTTCATGTTGCAGCTAATTTGTTTGTCATTGTTGGTTTGATTTTGCTTTTTTTGCTTTGTTTCCATAGCTACAGCAAAATGATTTTAAAAAGTTTTTCTTTCTGAGTGTGGTGTTGGAAACTACATGACCAATTCACAGAAATATTGAGAAGGAACTAATAATAATATTTTTACATGAAAAACCAAGCCTTTGTTTTATATAATCACCTAAAATGTAACTGAGAGCATTGTTTTTCATTGTGAACGAGCCTAATTGTTGAAGTATTTTAAAAGAAAATGACTAAATGTACAAATTGTCTTTATGGAAACTTTTGGAGGTAAAATTCATTTATAGGCTTTGTCTCCTTTGGCCTCAGTCCTGGCATCAGTTTACATTTAATTCTCCATCCATCAACATGCATGGGTACAACGGTGCAGCCTGTTGTTTTAATAACTGTGGTAAGCACTCTAAAGCCAAATGTAATTTTAAACTCAAAGCATTTTCAAATGGGATCCATTATTTTTCATCATAAATCTGTATGTGAGTTTTCTGATGATCTATATGATGTCAAACACGAGTGTTTTATTTCTCATTTTAAAGTATTCCGATGTTCTCAATGATAAATTGAATGCCTGTCTTCGTGATAAAGACACTTTTGGAAAGGAAACTGTTAAGTGTGCACGGGAAGTCGTCTTTAACCCACTCCCCATTTTAATAAGAATGCTATTCAGTTTGCCAAGCTTGAATCCAATCAATCTATTCTTTTTCCCTTTTTGTCTTCAGTCTCCCCCCCCCTTCAACTCTGGCATAACAATAATTATTGGGAAGTTGGTTAATCAAATAAATTACCATCTGAGTAAACGAGAAGGGAATCTTAAGAGCCAAATGGCACTTTAATGGACAGTTTCCCTGCATTCATAAAAGTTGCATTTATAGTGACAGTGAAGTTTTTAAATGAGCAGATCATAATAATAAAAATATTTATTAAAAATACCTATTAATTCTTTATGGTGACACTTTCTATCAATGCCATGTTTATTTGCATCAATGAACACATTCCTAACACATAATGCATTAATAATGCATTATAAACATGCCTATAAATATTTATAAAAATGGATAACACATTGTAGCCATGTTTATTATGCATTATGAATTCTTTATGTAGCTCTCATCTATAATGCACTATAGATACCTTCATCCTTAATTCTGACCAGATACCGGCCATCATAATGCATTATGATGGTATCTATAGTGCATTACTGTATACATGAGAGCTTCATTGGAGCTTATGAAGTATTGTAATCAGCACTATAATGCCTTATGACCGTCAATAGAAGATACTATTGTGCTTTATTAATTCTTATACCGACCATTATAATGCATTATGAAGGTATCTATAATGCACTATAAATGACAGCTGTTACCATATTGATTGCACAGAATATTGTTATTTAAATGAAACTGTAAAATGAAATGCACACATCAGTTTGTAAACAGTACTGAATTGATACAATGGTGATCCTTTTCTAATCATTTTGTCTTTGCAGGTCCTGGGTAATAGGTGCCATTGCTCTTCTCTGTCTTCTGGGATTGACCTGGGCGTTTGGACTGATGTACATCAATGAGAGCACAGTCATCATGGCCTACCTCTTCACCATATTCAACTCCCTGCAAGGGATGTTCATCTTCATTTTTCATTGTATTCTGCAAAAAAAGGTAATGCCCGAAATGTGTATTTCTGCTTGGCTGAGATACAATAATGCCGCAGCTATGATTCATAACGTAACATTTTTGTGTGGCACAATTAACAGTTGAGTGTCATTGTATCATTAAATGATTCCAGCATGATGTACATTTTGCACATACAAGTGTTACAGAAGTAATTAATGAAACTAGTGATTATAAAACATCCACCGTCATCATTTTCTTTTGAAGACTAGTTAATTACCTTAGCATGGAAGCTTTGATCATTGAGAAACTGAAGCTTGGCCATTGAGACAGACAGGTGTTCTCCATGGCTCACTGACGTGTACTGTACATCTCCAAGGTCAACAGCTGGTGGATTGTTAGAGACTTGGGCAAAACAGAAGAAAAAGTGGAAAGTACAGAAGACGTATATTCAGATGGCCTGTGAAGCATCAGTGAAAGTTTATTAGCATATTGTTTATTAATATTTCTTAACGAGATTAGTTTCCTACTACTAGCCAACTGGGCTCGTTCAGTCTAAAAAGTAGTCCAACATGCCTTTTTCAGTCAGCGGGCTGGTATTCAGTTTTTTTGGACTCGCCCTTTGTCTACATTACTTGCCTTAGGCAAGTGGGTGAACTTAATTTCCAGCCCTGAGAGCAGCAACGGTTTCGTCAGGATATATCCAGAAATGTGTATCCTCTTTGAGTATCTTATGCTGTTGTCGGCATATCCAGAGTCACGACGCTGTTAATAATGCATGCAAATCTGTGAGAGGAGGATTGCCCTGAATTGCGCCTGCCACCTCACAGGTCCGAAAGGAATATGGCAAGTGTCTGCGCACTCATTGCTGTAGCGGCAAGAGCGTGGAGACTTCTATCGCCTCCGGGAAAAGCACGGCTTCCCGGACCCCCGGCCGCTACTCGACAGGATCACAGGTGAGGTGGCTCTCTGTGAGCTTTCTGTAGTGCTAGTTTATTGTGCTTTATGTCACACATAATTAGGCCGATTAGCTCACTAATAGATAATGGTGAGAGTACACTCCAGATGCCTATTGTTTCAGTGCTTAGAAAGACCAATAAAATCTTTAAGAACTGGCCACTCTGGGAAGTAGTATGACTAGCCCTACCGTTGATTAAGGTGCCATGAGTTTCTGTCTCAGTTACAGTCAAAATCTTAAGAGACATGTCTTTATTGTGAGTTTATTGTTGAGCGTTACAGTTTATTGCCGCGCTCCAACATCAAAGCCACTGTAATATCCGAGTTTAATCCCCATAATCTCGTTTTCCACAGAAGTACTGTCAAACAGTTTTGTGTAACGCAAATTCAAAGCTACATTTTCCCGATACACAAACTGGCACGCCACACCCTCGCCTCTGTCCCTAATTAATGTTTACTGGATTGCAGCGCCTGTCGACATTAATTACATAAGCTGGGAATGTTAAGTGCTGGCTGTTAAAAAGGTGGTAATTGATGGTCAGACCTAAGGGTTTAAATGAACATCTAATCAACGAAGTAGGCTGTAAACAACTGACCTGAAATGGAGGTTTTAGTATGTGCTTTCTGTCGAAAAATTCATGCTAGCTGTATTTAAAGGGGCCATTTTTTTATTGAACAACTTTATGTAGAACGTGTGGACACAAAGCATGACAAAGGTCCAATAGCAATATTAAGGTACTGGTGATTATGTTGTGGGATAATGATGCCTTCAACAATATGGGTCAGTATTCATTTGGCAGATGGATGAGTCTCAGTGGATATCATTAGTTTCTTCGCTTCCCTGATGCTATGACATCTAACGAAAAGTCTTGCACATGTCCGAGCACATCTTGCTTGCTCCCTGAGGCATGTCGTTAGTGATTCTCCTCTTCCGTGCTGTGTTGATTTAGAAAGGTATACAGAAAATTGGTCCTGAGTCGTACTTTTTACATGTCATATCCCTCACACTATGGCTGTGAGACAATTACGGGGCAGAGTAAACAGAGGAGTCTCTGTTTAAGTTTTACACAAAATATCGTCATATCGTCAGTGGTGTTACACACCGTGTTCTTACATGATTTTGTTTATATCGCGTCTTTGTGGAAACGAAACGGAAAGGGAACTTTCTGGAGCGATCAGATAGTGTCTTGCCAGAAAGGCAGGTTGATTTATAGGCTGCCAGTGCAAATTGTGGGCCATGGGTTCCAAAACCCTATAGGTAAGCTGTGGGTTATTAGCTAGCATTTTGTTTTCTGCCAGAGAAGCGGATACCGTCGACCTGTCAGCTTGACCGCTGGGTTTCTCTCCTCGGCCTTTTATCTTTCCCTTCTGCAGAGTCGAATCCGCCGGATGTGGAACGACACTGTCAGGAAGCAGTCCGAGTCCTCTTTCATTACCGGCGACATAAACAACTCGGCCACACTCAACCGAGGTAATCATGAAATTAACCAGTCTGCTCTCGGCGGTGGAATGCAACTACTGCCGTCCTTTAAAAAGTGGCACGTTTTGGTTAGGGTTCAGTGTTTTGTTGCCTCTCTGTTTTGCATGATTCTGACAGCTGACAGATACCTCTGGAACATGGATTATACCGTTGTATAATAAATATGTGCCAGTATTGTGTTTTTAGGCTAATTCTTCAGCACCCAGTGATATCTAAATAAGTATGGCAGTGAATACATACTAAATACTAATTTGGAATCCATGACTTATTCAGGAATTGTCCTTTTTGTCACTATGTGTTTTAACTGATTTACTGCAAAATATGTCATAGCTTTCAGCTGCTATTGCGACAAAAGAAAAAAGAAAACTAATTTAATCGCAACAACAGATAAAGAGATTGGGATGTACTCTATTAGGCCTATCTGTTGAAGTTACTGCAAAATTTGCCTCTCATTAATTGTAAAAATTAGTCATTTATATAAAGCAAAGAAAAATACTCATGTTTTTTGAAAAACATATACTCTGTTTATTTATTTCTGAAATAAATTCTAATATTTCTTCAGTAGCACTTTGAAGGCACAAATAATGTAGTAATACATTCTTACTTAATGCATTAATTTATCGGCAACTAAGTGTTAATTACGTACTGATCCCATGTTCGTTCATCATTAATCAGTCATAATAGCTGATGTATTTTTAATATATTTATTCATGATTTGTACTTCAGTATTAACTGAGTTACTAACTTACTTGTGCCTGCAACAAATTAAATGTTACCAGTTCTTCGATAAATGCTAAATCTTCAAAAAAACGAAAGAAAAAAAAAACATGCAGGCATATTCAATTCAGTAGTTCAATGGGCTTTAAGATTCCCATCTTCAGAGAGTTCAGCTCTTACCCAGATCAGGCTCACCATGTTAGCCTGGAACCTATCCCATGAGTCAGAGGGCAGACAGTACAGGAGATGGCCTGGGTTAGATTCCAGTCCATCACTGGGACATACATTAGGGACAAGAACTTTCAATTATAGATGGAAACATAGTTTTAAGACTTGAACTCTGGTCTTGATGAGTGAGGCTATAGTGCTTGTTTGAGAAAATTACCTATTGTATAAAAAAGCTACAGTAGTCTTTTGTTTTTTTTTTCTTACAAACACACCAATCAGAACATGTTATTTATGGACAACTCAGGTTTAAACTGAGATTTGCTCAGACACTAATAAGCTGGGAGTGAGCGGCGAGATCTCACCACCTTCACTCACAACCAATTTTCTCTCTGACAGAAAACCTAGTGACAGGAAATAGAGTAAGTGGCCTAATTGTCACCGTATTGGTGGTGAACCAGGTGTCTTTGGGCATCTTGTAGACTGTGAGCTCCCCGCTTCCTGTTACAGTATGTGTGCTTTTTCATTTCCAAATCCTCTCGCTTATTGGGCACACAATAAGCAGCTTAACAAATATTAGTTTAAGCCTGATATTTTGGGGATATGGGCTAATCACACCATCATACCACTAAGCTTATTTTGTTTGAAAACACTGGGTGTTTATCAGTTATCAGAGATACATTTATAAGATAGTTATTTCCCCCCCCGGTTATTCTGTGATTTCCCACATTTTGGAGGGAGTTACTAAGAATGTGAAAAACGAATAGCCTAAAACCTATTAAAGATTCAGGTCTTCAGAGGTCTATCTGCTGTTACACATTGATGTGCTAAAATATGCTAACTTGCATTTTCATATAAAGTACATTTCGTTATTATTTTTGGCTTGTTAAAAGAAACAACTTGAATAGGCATTGCAAAATGTGTCATGGATTACTAACTTAATAACCTAATTTTCGAATCCTTGTAATGATCTGCATAGAACAAGCACACTTTCAATTCATTTTGTAATTTTGGTCTTGTGTGAGCTTTGACTTTTAGCGTTATAACATTATTGAGTAAACGTCTCAAAAGCTAAATATTTTCTCATGTTTTCTAAACTCTTTCACGCCGTAATTGGTGACAAGAGAGTCCTGCGTTTCTCTGCGGGTCCCTAGTGCGACATACATAATAATCGTTTGTTGCTTATTAAGTCGCAGTTCCTCTAGGCAAGTTGCACTCGCTTTTGTTAAAAGGAGACTTACTCACCTGCTTCCTGACAGGGTTTGGTGAGCATTGCACATGCTGAGCTCAGTCAACTGCACCATCGTTATGCTTAATTAGCATCGTTAGGCAGCCCAGACACTACATCTCATTTACTGACAGTAGGCAGACGTATTATAAAATAACTCAAAACAGATTGATGCAAAGGAAAAAAATAAATTTATAAAAATGATTAGTTAAACAAACATAATTATACCTAGTGCTGTTAATCAAGATGATAGTGCTTGATTTTTATTTTTTCTATAATATACCGATTATGTTTTTGATAAACTTTGTGCAAGAATTTTAAAACTTTTGCTGCAGGAGTATGTAAACATTTCCTCATAGATAAAGTTTCTCTAAAGAATTTCTGTGTCTTGAATGGCATGGGAATCTATTTTATGAAATTATACAGGTCAACCATAATGCAATTTGGCCTCGGCGTTCAACAATGTCTTGCTTATATGAAAAGGGTTTTGTTTATTTAAGAACAAAATAAGGCTTAACATCCCCTACCCTAATTTCAACTTAATGAGGCAAATATCTGATTGTAATTACAGTTATAATAATTTAGAGTCCGTTTAACAAAATTTCAGATGTGAAATAATAGCTTTGATTTACTGGCAGGCATGCAAAATAGCTCTCAAGAACGCTCAAAAGTTATACATCCCAGTATTTTTCCTGGAACGATTTAGCAATCTATGTTTTGCAGTAAACAGTAACGCAGACAAACTGAAGGCCAAGAGCCTGTAGCGATTCACCGGTCTGCTGTGTTCATATGGTCAGATCTGCCATCCAGTGTCGATTAAAGGAACATTGAAGAAACACTGGGTGAAAGATAGCAGTGCAAGGTGGCTCATTGAATGTACAAATGGTTCATGTCTGATTTGCATTAATGCTTCACTTTTCTATATGTACCCACCATTCAGCTGGCTTTTGTTATTTGTCTAAATGTGTAAGCATTTTCCATGAAAGGGGAAGGGGGTCCAGTGGAAAACACCGTGTCCACACTTTCCCCTTTGATCACATAAATCTCAGTCTTGAGCTTGCCGCTGCTACTGGTCAAACTTTTGGCTGTGACGAAAGAGAAAGGGATTGATTGCTTGTTTTTTTTGTCATTTTACTTTATCTTTACTTTCAGCTGAACTGCATTTGCCTGACTGATATTTATGTTTTTTTTTTCTCTGTGTTCCTATCTGGCTGGCAGGTGCCATGGCTAACCAACTTATAACTAATGCCCTGCTACGACCCCATGGCACTAATAATCCCTATAACACTTTGCTTGGGGAATCAGCGGTCTATAACAACCCATCTGTGAGCATGTACAACACGCAAGGTGTGCTGGGCCTGTTTTTTTACCCCTTGATCCTGGTAAACATGTTTCACCTGGCTTATACAGCCACTGATTCCGGACAGCTGCTCTTCATGGAGTGAACGAAATTGAGGCATATCCTGGCGGGCTATTTCGGATTAATTACCCAAAAAGGAATCGGATGGCAGCTTCCGTTAGGTGGTTCCTGCCCATATTCTCTTGCCTAAAATATATGGTTTGCAAAAGTGGACTGAAGCATTTGCTTAACGTTGAAATGTAGACCTACTGGGAGCCAGATATGTCACAATTTCTTATGCACTTGCTGCTGCAATATTCTGTCTTTGAAAGCTTGTCTTTGTGCTTCATGTCAACCTGTTTGTACGTCCTTAGTATTCATTTTGTCATGAATTTTTGAATGCACGCGTTTTTGGTAAGTGTCCCCAGATTTGTTACCAGTTGCTCTGCCGTGTATGGATGGTTGTAACATTTTTAGAACTTTGGATTCTTATAATTGCTCTTCACACGTTTGGAAACGCGCGTGTGTGTGTGTGTTTTTTTTAGTTAACAATTCTCAAAAATACTATACACATGTGCATCTGGGTCAATTGTATAATCCAGACTTTTCGGGAAAAAAAAAACAACTTTGCATTATGTTTCCTGATATATGACTAAGCAAGAAATAATTTTCTCTTCGCTTATGAAACATAAGTGAGTCACTAGGCAGCATGAGAATATTGGGTAAGTAGCAAAATGTATTTAAGTAAGTAAGCAAATAAATAAATAGACTTTTCTTTAGAATCTATGCGCTGACTGGGATGAACAGCAAGACACATTCTGAAAACAACATTGTAGATGTAAAAAAGAAAAACAGCAATGTTGTTCGAATGAGGTGTAGGAGTCGATTGATTTTATGACCAGAAAAACTACAAGATCGGTTTGTACACTTAGAAGTGCATTCAAACGCCCCTACAAAAATGAGTCAACGGCACAAGAATGTCAAATAAGCCATCATGTTATTTTCGGGAAAGAGAGTAACTTACGTAGTTACGCAATTTTAGAACCAGCATGTTTGCAACTCTTAGCTAGTAATAAGATAAGATTCGATGTGTGACGTGTATTTGGTACGTACTAGCAGAACTATAGGATTGAAAATACTGGGAGTCTGTCCGCTACATGCCATCTTTTGTTCACGTGTTCTCTATTTGTGACTGTTGGCTTACGTGTCTGTTCTTCTTTCCTTTCCTTCATGCTGTCGTTTAGCCCCCTACAGAGAGACAAGTATGGGAGTAAAGCTAAACGTTGCATATCAAATGTAATTGACCTCAGTTTACTTTCTTTTCACTCTATGCTGACAAAAGACAGACACAAATGATCGGCTATTCTGCAGCTATTGTCATTTTCCCACTTCGGTTCGTTTAAACGCAAAGAACAAAAAGTAAACTAGAGAAGATGCTCATAGCATGACACCATCTCTTAAACTTGCCATTTGATTGGTTTGACACTTAACACTTAACGCAATATACATCCATCGTATTCTATAAACCACTCTTAAAAGAAGCCAGTCAACATTTTAATCTCATATCATCGATATAACATGACAATTACTGTGTTTGTAATTATAAACCTCAATGCAAAAGTTAATCATGTGTCCTGGTTGGGCATTTATATTCTAGTCTTTACACTCTCTAAATTATATTCATTTGTAATCATTGTATGTAAATGAATAATTACGGTAAATTTGTTGAACTTGGAAAGAAGCTGCAGCGTGTTGTATGGTGGTGACTCTGTCCCATGGAGACACCAAACAAACGTCTTGGTTTGCTAAATATGGTTGAAATATGTTGCTAAATTCTTTTTAAAGGCAAGCACATATTTCAGATTTTTGCAGTGTGGTGATTAATTACTGAGAACTATGTACCCTTATAGATTTTATTGATAGAGGGTAGGCTGATATGTCAAACCCAGTTCTCCATATTCAAAATAACATTCACTACCCTGTAAAATGTTGCCAGTTTGTCCAAATATTTTTCTTCATAGGTATTATAATACTTTTGGTAATTTCTTTTAAATTGCCAATTTTAGCTGTGTTGCCCAAACAGGAACAGATTTGACTTTGCACTGAGATATAATTTAAATGCCGTACAATTTATCACACCATTGAAATTCTACAATTTCTCTGCATGGGAGAGAACAGAAAGTCTCTTAATAATTTTTGTTTTGAAACAAAACTTTTTTTATTTAAATGATGGCCCATATTTATCACGGCAAAGACTGGAATAACTAATTCCACTTGTGATTAACAGTCAATGAATACTTTTATTTTATAAAATAATTAGAAATTTATCCTGATATATCATACAGCTTTGTTAAATAGGGGCCAGCCTGACTGAGGTCAACAATTATAATATTATATGCTAAAACTAAGCAATAGCATGGTTTTGGTTTTTAGTTTTATATGTTTGTGAGTGAATCGTTTTTTTGTGTTATTTGTTGTTCACCTTTTTTGCCTTAATTCAGTTCAGCATATAATTATATTATATTGCTGGATTGATTGAGGGCGTTCATCTGTGATGCTGTATCAGTTGTTATTGCTATTGCATTGACTTTATCTTGTGTTTATTTTTTAAATCACAATAAGGAAACAGTTATAGATTCAAATACATAAAATTGCTTTAAAATGACAAACGTAAATATACACATCAAAACAACATTAAATATATAAGTATTTTGTACATTTACTTAGGAGTAAAGGCTGACAATGTATACACCAATTAAAGTTATAAATGAATAAAAGTAGCTATATAAAGGAAGACATGACAATAAAAATGAGAAAATGAAAAGTCACTAGCATTCTGACACTTAAATATTGTGTGGAAAAACACCAGATAAAATGAAAATCTTCATCAGTTCTTACCCACCTACTTCCAGCTATGTTTCATTTTATTGGTACGCTAACCCGGTCCAGAATGCATAAAGCAAATTTCACTTAATTAAGATCAAATTTGGGACTCCAGCACCAGATAGGAGCCATTGCAGGAGGCTGTTTTGAAGCTTCATCACCTGCTTTGAGAAGACAATTTACCCTAATTTCCAACAGTTTGTGCACCTCTTAGTTGTTTTTCTTACACATGAGGTGAAGACGCAGTCTGCCTCCTTGTTATATAATCCAAATGGTGCTTTGGCCTTTTGGATCGCTGTCGAAAGGAAGGAAGAAATTAATTAAAATGCATTACTTTACCGCCGTGGCCATATGGCTGGGCCGATGTTGCCGTGAGCGGCATGTTCTGAAAAGCAAATTTCTTAAGACTAAAATGAACAAAACAAGGTATATTTACCCTGTAACACAGAATTTAAAACTGAAAAATACCATGAAAATAAATTGTAAAATGAAGGTAACCTGAAAAAAAAAACTTTTGCAGAATGTACTAATTTGGACTTTATTTCGCTACTACTTAAATAGCTTTAATAAGCTAAAACTGATTTTGAGATTTGCCAATTTCTGCACATTTGGCTATGAGCAACGTAATTATAAATATCTCCTGGTGGACCAATAATAATAATAATAACAGGGACTAAATTCACATCCTTAGGCACGTCATGAGTACCAGCCCTGATTTTGTTATTACTTGATTTATTTGATAGCAAAGTACATACTGAATGCTTTTGATTCTAGTTACACATTATTAGTACACCGTAAGTTAGACATCACATAAGTACAATATGAACACAGACATAAATGTTTTAAGGAATCTATATATACATGAAATATCTCTGTAAATGATCTTTTAAATGTCTGTGTATGTGTGGAATTGCATCGGATCTAGTGCAAAAAGTAATAACACAATTGCCTACTCTTCCAGAGGGAATCCTGAACAATGCCAGGGATACAAGTGTCATGGATACTCTACCACTGAATGGTAACCATGGCAACAGCTACAACATGGCCGGTGGTGAATACATGAGCGACTGCGTTCAAATCATCGACCGCAGCTATAACCACAAGGAGACGACGCTAGAGAAAAAGATCCTGAAGGAACTCACCTCCAACTACATCCCCTCCTATCTGAACAACCACGAGCGACCCAGCGAGCAGAACCGGAACCACGTCAACAAGCTAGTTAACAACCTTAGCAACGGTAGTAAGGATGACCCCGTTGTCCGGGACAACCCCGTCACCTTCAACCATGAGGAGGCCCTAGGTCTGGAGCTCATCCGGGAGGAGTCCAATGCACCCCTGCTCCCACAGCGGGTCCAGTCCACTGGGCCCCACCAGCCCCATTTCCCTAGGAGGAGGGTCCCACAGGAGAACAGTGACAGTTTTTTCCCCCTGCTCACCAGCGAGCACACCGAGGAATCCCAGTCGCCAAACAGGGACTCGCTGTACGCCAGCATGCCGGTGCTCACTGACCTACCTGATGGAGAAGCGGGTGACGGTAAGGACCAGGAGGAGCTCTCCACTTGTCAAGGCACTGAGGCGGAAGACGTGTACTATAAAAGCATGCCGAACTTGGGCTCCCGAGACCATGTTAACCAGCTGCATAATTACTACCAAATGGGAAGAGGCGGCAGTGATGGGTTTATAGCTCCTACTAACAAGGAAGATTCATCTCCTGAAGAACCCAGCCAGGAGCCCTCGCATCTAGTCACTAGCCTATAGATGGCAGTCCCTTCCAGTCGTTTCCTGTTCCGAATCAACTGTCTGCAATTGTAGATTTTTTTATTCTTTTTTTTTTTTTTTTGTTCCTTTCCCGGAAATTCTGCAAACGTTAATGCAATCGAAGTACTGATAAACACGGCGACTTACAGATTTGTCAGTCGGTGTAAGACTTGAAGCCTTTCGGTCGTGAAGAAAACGGTTTGCTGAATGAACAGACGATATGAATCCTACTCGTTACTTTTATGTCTGCATCCAGCCGTCGTTTTTGCCAAGCCGTACAAGGGCACGATATCCGAACTATAAAGAACCCTGGAGCCGTCTGCTCACCTGGATATTTCTCACTTCACTTTTCTGTCATTTTCTTGGTTGCCCCAAGGACTCCTTTGAAGGGGTCAGACAAGGAACAACTTTATTATTCTTTCATCTCTGCTAAGCGTCTACGACATCCCAAAGGAGTTACAGACAACAACCCAAACTGTTTGCTGTTAGCTGAGTGTGTAGATGAAACAAAAACAAAGTTAAAACTATTTTATTATACTTCTGTATCCATGGCTTTTTAAAATTTCTTCCTATCTGGTGATTTATAGGAAATTTTGCTGTGGCGTTCCTGCAAGTTTAGCAAAACTGATCTTTTGGGGGAAAAAAAAAAAAACATGAAGGGACTCTGTTGTACTGTATATGCTAAAACAGCATATTTTATGTTTTTGCTGTAATAATTCCAATTATAAATGGATTAAAAACTAATTACAGAGAATTATAATGAATTTCTATGTAAATATACAGATACTAGCATTGCACATTATAGTATGCTTTTTATTTTCCTCTGGAGCCTTTGTCCCTGTAAATGTATTAATAGACTATTAATTTTCTATTGTGCTGGTATTTGGACATTATTTCTCCCAGTAGGAGCATTTTTTTTCTCTTCTTCCTATTGTTATTTTTCCTACAAACAAACAAACAAACAAACAAAAAAGACTCACTGAATAAACACTTTATGATGATCCTTTTCTATCATTGTAACCACTGATGTTTTCAAAATTGTTTTCGGTTTTTTTCGTTATGATTATTTTTTTCACCGCGTTGATTTAAACGAAACACTTTCACGGCAAATCCAACAACACTGCGCGACAGGTATTATCAGGCACGGTACAAGATTCACGGTTCTCTGGAGGGAGGTCGCAGATTGTTCAAGTAAGCTACATGCTGCAACACAGACTGTAAAAGGATAAACGTGAAAAGAATAAAAACAAAGGCAAGTACATTCATGAGGGATTCATTGCATTATTTATTTGTTCAAAAGAAACAAAGTTTTAAACAAAATGTTGAATTTCAAATGGTGAAAGAACAGCACATAGTTTTTTTCATTGTTAATAATATGATTGACTATTATTTATTCATTTTGTATTGGTTCCAAGCTGAATGACCTCATAGCTAATATTTGTTGTAAAAGTGGAATTTGTTTGCCGAAGAATAAATTACTGGATAAGACTTACAACATAATATTCATAACGGTTTGTGTTTTTTTTTTTTTTTTCCTGTGAGCCTCACCAAATGTGGATGGTGGATGAGAACAACCAGGATGTTAAGAGAGCTTTCAACAGTTAAATAAAGCAGAGATGGAATAAACAACTGTTCTATCTGCCATTAATTTGACCGTCTTCCTTTAGCACTATGTGTTTGTTTTCTAATCCTGAAGCCCCTGGGGACAGACCGATGTCCAAGTGATGCATGGCAAATTTTTTCTCATTAAAACCTTCATTGACAAAACTATTAATAGAGAATATGTGGGCAAGATGAGGAAAATGGCCTCCGCTTTCTATTAACTTGCATTTCCCAACATATCTTTCGATTTTTTAAATTCAAAATAACATTTGTAATAACTTGACTTTGAATGTTATTGTCTATTGAAAATAAACACTTACATTATTGTGAGTTGTTTAAATAGTGTTGCTAATTTTAAATTAAATCTTTTATAGTTTTATTTTTCCAATTCTTAATTGACATTATGACATGAAAAAATGCTGTTGTGTTTCCTCAATGGTTTTACTTTCAAATTACACAATTGGGGAACATGTCTTTTTTTATTATTATTTCAGCTGTTATTTGTGCACCATGTAATGTGTATCAATACAACAATATGCCTTCTCAGCTAATTCATAGCGTGATAATTCAAATATTCCATGAATAATTGAATCATATTCAATGACAGTTTGTATAGATACACTTTCTTGCAAAAAAAGTGAAAGAATTTGTGACATACAAATCCAATCAGAACTGACCTTGTCATTCTCATTGTTGCATTACAAAAAGTCATGGTTTAATTCATTTATTTTTTCAGTTTTGTCACATTAGACGTAGAATACATGCCTAAAAAATGGAAATGTGTACATATTTCAGTTTTACACTACCCAATCTGTAATCACCAAATAAAGTAGATTTATGTCAAGCATTAATCACGATGCTAATGTACGACAATCAGTTTTAATTATAAACAAGCAAATATATAAAGCAACCCAGATGGCTCACCAGAAAACGTATTGACTGGATATCAGGTAAAAGTGAGAGCGTAACATCAATGGATTTGGGCACATTACCGTCATGACAGGATCACAATCTCAGGCAGACTCATTTCCACCTATTTTTGTAATATAATTAAAAAACACAATGATAATGTGTAAAGATAAAATCAAATGAGCTGAAAAGCTATTATACATTCATCCACTTTCCAAGTGCTTATCTTGGACAGCAGCACCGGGAGCGTGGGACCCGTTCCTGCTAGCAGAGGGTAAAAGGCGGGGTACACTCAGGACGGGATACCCGTTAGCCTCTGATCACGTCTATGGAGGGTGACCCACACAACGCAAGCAGAACAAGCAAACTACACACATACAGAGGCAGGAATCAACCCCCCCCCCCACACTGAGAGGTAAGAGAGCTTCCCACTGAGGCTCCATGCTTCCTAACCATTATATGATGAATAAATTATAACAGGTGCAAATTTAACTGGCACAAAAGCGTGATAAATACAGGCTCCGGCGTGTCATATGATGCAGTGCAGCATGGCAGATCTACAGCATAGTGATCAATCAATTGTCTGAGGCATACTTCCCAGAATGCACTGCTGCCCTGTCAGAAGTTCTGATGCCATATGTGTCACTTTGACTTGTGCAAGTAAAGTGAAGGAGTGAATAAGAATCTGCAGAAAAATGACTCCTGCTGCCCACATTATTAATGACTCATTGTGGGAGCCTGACAGGTTTCAGATCAGTGCTTCATGCTCACAAATCCAAACCAGCAAACAGGACTAGTTATGTCAATTCAGCTAGCGACCGATAGTGATCTCTCTGAGACAAAGATGGGATAAATTGTTATCCTTCATCTGTGGCTTGATGAAAAGGTTCTTTCAAGAAGAATTTTATACAATCAGCTGTCTTTGCCTTCTACTGTATGTTCCAGTGAAGTAAGCAGAATAACTGATGAGCTTCATGCCAAAACTCCGTAGTATGTTTTGGAAATTCCTTCTGCAAAGCATCTATTCCGGGGCAATTAAACGTTTGTAAACATGACATGGAGGATTCCTCTTGAACAGAGGATTCATTCATCTCCAAGCTGAGCATGCTGAGAGCAAATAATTAAAGACACACTTTAAAGATGTATTTCACATATTCGAGTTCAATGTCTTCGCCTTGCGTCACATGAAATGAAAAATAATAAAATGCATTCATGCATTTCATGCAATGCTGAAATTCCAAACGTTGAAATATACAAAATTATACCACAGCTGTGAGCATTTTCCAAAATATTTTTTCTTCTACAGGATGTAATTTATGCACCCACATTGGCTGTGTGATTAAAACACAAACAAGGTGAATATGTCTCAGTGATTCGACATGCAACACAGTCTAGACAGGCATGTCTCCTTGACCCTTCTGGAATCTGCAGATTTCCTCTGTGATTCTTCTGCTAAGCACCAAATCCTTTTCCATCTCTTTTCCCTGCCAATATCTCATCTATAAGTGTCTATATCGTGCATTGAATGCATGGAGATATCGTGGTTAGCTTCTCTAGTTTGCTGATTCCCCCGAAACATATTTTCACAGATGTTGAGCATTTCTGATCTATTGAAGTCTTGCAAGCTCGATGGGCCGAATGGCCTCCTCTCGTTTGTATAGTTCTTATGTTCTTATGTTCTTAAGTTAAACTGGCAGGACTGGACAACCAGAAAAATCCAGAAAAAAACACAGGATTGAATAGAAATGGAAGGTTTGATTCCACAATATTGATTGTGGTCTTCTTTGTTGTTTGAACGCCAATTGTTATTGGATTATTCACCTTTAACATGTGGGTTCATTTGTTACAAAGTTATAGATAAAGTGATACAGTATATACCATGATGTCTGCCACCTCGCCCCCCTCATCCCCCCCGTCCCCCACCTAAAACTAATCCATTTCATGCCCCACACAACACTGCAACAAATAAAAATATATATTTCTGGAAAGCTTGTTGTCAGTGAAAGAGTATTCCAAATTTTGAACATAGATGGATGTGGCTTTCAGCAGAGTACAGAGAGAGAGATCTATCCGAGATTTGTTTTCATCTGGCCTTTTTAAACACTGACAAGACAAGATGGTACAGTACATGCAGCTCTGTTTAAGCTCAGTTACAGTCTCTGCGCTTTCAATCTCAAGCATTTAACCGAAGCAGGGTCACATAAATGAAATGTTACTTATATCTGGCCTGGAAATAGTGCAGTCTTATGTAGTTCGAACTTCGCAATTTCAAAATAAAATGGAAAACAGAAGCAAACACCCACTGCTTCGTCTGAAATACATTCAGGGAAGAAAGATTATTTTGAAGCAGACAAGAAACGCTACTGTCTTACGTAAGTTCTGTCTGAGGCAGAGAGCAACATTTTAATTAGCGGTTAGAAATTTAGCGTGTTGTTTTATGGATTCCATGGCTGAAATAATAGGTCATCTGTGTGAAAAGTGAATCTGATGACCCTCAGGCTGTTCTTCTTTGCAGTCGGGCATATTGTTTTCTCATTATCTCCATGGAAACATCAGCATGCACCACTGCGTATGTGTGTGTAAACAACTGGCAACCACAATGTGAATTTTATATAGGTGGACTCATGTACTTACCTGTAGAAATATTGCTGAGGTCACCATCGGTTGGCTCCATTTTACAAGACTTGCACGCTGCTGATCCCAAACTCCTGCAACACACAGGCTCAGCTCTGAGTCACCAGTGACACCTCATCACGGTCAGAGTCGGAACGATGCGAACAAAAGACTCCATCACACAGTCCAGTTACTTTACAGGGTTAATGAATGGCTCCATGAACAGTTCTGCTCTCTGTTGAAGCAAGGACAGGCATTTAAAGCAGAGTTCTGCTAGCTACAATCGTCTATTCAGCTTGGGCACAATGAGATGGAAAACGCGACACTTACGGTTTTACAACCTAATAAAATATATACATGTAAGGGAAATACTTCATTTTATTACTCAGTCTAAAACGCCAATCAAAACCATCTTAAAATGAAAAAAGGACTGAGGAATATGCAGTAAGTGCCTTGTTGGATTGAAATGTCATTTTATTTTAATATATAAACATAGCGCTGACCCAGATAGTGAAGTCTAAACAGAAGATAGTATCTAATGAATAGACCGCAGAAGTGGTTCAAGGGCAAAATTATGTTGCGTTATGAATTTTCTGTGGGATTTAGCCAGCTACGTATTTATTATAATATAATCAGTGGATTCTTTGACTGAATTCTCAGATAATGTTCTTGAATGATAGGTAGAATAATCAAAATTTGCAGTCCGCATCCGAAGACCTTGGAACTGGCTTGTTGATATATACAGATGCATTCTTCAAGACGGATGTCTGTAACATTTTGACTTTATTTGATATTTTAACCCTCAGCCCTGCTGTCTGACATGAAGTGCCGATTAAAAACATGCATAAATGTATAAAGCAGACTGTTATGGCAACAAAGTTCCTTTCCACCAGAAGCCGTCTGTGATGTCACCATACTGACAATGCCTCTGTATCTTAGTTACCTGGAACATGTTAGGATGCTCTCAAACAGTCCTCATGGCCGTCTGACTGTCTGCCTCTCAGCATTTATTACTGCTGCCTCAGTTTATCTCTGCGGGAGACACAGTCAATTGCACTTTTCCATTATTTTTTGTATTTATGTTTTTTGTGTCACTCAGCCTGCCACTCGCTTCCCTGGTCTGGGGAGCACCCCTGTAGTACAGAGGTCACGCTACGGAATCGGGACGCAGAGTCAGGTGCCAGCTCTCACCGGGACTCGTGTGACTCATCTCATTCCCACCAGCAGAAAATAGTGCTTTTTCCACTTTCCCGGATGATATTAGCAGAGGAGGCTCTTTTTCTTATCAAGTACAGACCCAGGACATGGCCGATTTCTTAAGAGACCTTTCAAGTACAAATCTACACATAGACGAACACTACGATTACTTGATATTGTCTTTTCAGCAGAGCCAAGATTTAGTATGGTATATGGATACCTTTGTGGCACTTGTCACATGACCAGAGACTTTCCTTTTTAACTTCTGGGTCAGAAGTTTGGGTCCTGACATTAGGTGGTCAGGGAGA